CTATAATATAAATATATATTGTTGAAGATCAATATATAATCAAAATCACAAATTTTAAAAAAAAAATATATTTTAAAAATAATTTTTATAAAAATCTATTTGAAATAGTTTTAAAATTAATTGATTTTTGAAATTTTAATATCTAAAAAATATTTCAATAAGAATATGAAATATCTAAAATAATATTTTAAAAATAATTATTCAAATTAAATTTCTATTTGAAACTTTTATATAAAAAAATTTAAAATTTTTCTACGTAAAATTATATAACATTATAAAAATCATTTTAAAAAAACACCAAACAAAACAGAACCTTAAACAAACAGATTCTACCCAACTTTGTAGATTTCTTTCTTAATTGAAGTTGGGTTTATATATACTCAGCTATAGTATAAACTATCGTATTAAAGAATTCAAATTGCAAAATTACAAGGTAATAAAGAGAACAAATTCAAGTGAGTAAAATAGGAAAATACAAAATGCAATTAAGTCTATATTAGAGAGTCAGATTGTATATTAGGCTTCAGAAATAAAATTTGTTTTTAGGAAGTCTTTGACAGTCTGCTCGACAGTCTCTAATTTTCGAGCGAATGTCAGTGCCTACGCTGACCAACTGCCTTAATGGCGGGATCTATCGTTAAGTGACGATAGGTTATCTCCGGGTCTAGGCCAGGAATCCCTGTTGCACTCCAGGCGAATAGGTCTGCATTCTCCCTGAGACATGCCTTTAGTTGTCTCTTCGCCAAGTCGGGGAGGTCAGCACCGATCTTGACTCCTCTGGTTGGATCATCGCCCAAGGGATAATTTCGAAGTCCATGTCTGAGATTAGACGTGCGGGGTGCGATGGCTTCTTGCTGCTTGTAAAGGATGAGCTTTCTCCTTCAACTAGAGGGGCTTTGCCATTTCTCTTATGCTCTCGGAGGTCTTCCTTCGTGAACTTGTTGTCGAGGTCGATTGCATCGATGCGGGGAAACGATTGTGGAGATTCTGAACTGCAGGGGAGAGCGGGTATGTTGGTCGTTTTGGGTTGCAAGCTGATAGAGCTCAATCCTTTGGATGCAGCTTCAAAACATCTTCGCGTCGCCTGGATGTCCCCGTGTAGGGTGGCGACAAGTCCCTGCTCAGTGTAGTACTTTTTTTAGGTGCAGTATGGAGGGCAATGCAATCAGCTCGGTCAGAGTGGGCCTCCCAAAGATGCACTGACATAATGAGGGGTTGTCCACCACAAGGAACTGCGTCTTGATCGACCTGGAACATTCGGCTTCCCTGAATGTGAGGATCATCTCCACGTACCCCCAAGGTTTAGTGATATAGTCGTTGAATCCTTGGAGATCTGAGCAAATATATGGGGTCATATGGGTCTCATTTGGTTGCAGAGTGTTGAAGAGTTGGGTGTACATTATGTTCACTGAGCTGCCTTGGTCGACCAAGATCCGCCTGACGTCGAAGTTGGCTATTCTCGCTCTAACGAGCTGAGGAATACTTGAGTTAAGGGCCCCGTCAGGCAACTCTTCCATGTAGAGATCAATGGGGAGGGAGCTCCCCCTAACTTTATCGAGGGTGGCATTCTTTTCAGAGATGGCGTCAATGAGTTGCTTAAACCTCCTCTTGATCGAGTCTACCGTGCATTTGTTGAAGCCACCTCTAGATATGACCTCGCTGGAAATGTCTCCCAGGGGCTATGGATCACGAAATATAGAGGGACCTCATTTATATTGAGGAAGTATAAGTCCTCGGGCCTGGCGATGCTCAGAGCAACGGGTATGAGGCTCGCATCGGAGGAGCCCTTCCCTTCTTCCACACTCTTGGATTCTTGGGGCTCTTCACGGGAAGCCTCCTTCTTCTTGTACTGTTTGAGATGCCCTTCCCGAATGAGTATCTCAATAGCATCTTTAAGGTGGATGCAATTGTTAGTATTGTGCATGTGGCTCTTGTGGAACCTAAAGTATTTGCTTTTGTCTGTCTCAGGCTTGGAAGGTGTTTGGCGGAGAAAGCGAACCCCAACTTGCTTGAATTCTGAATTGGTGCACTCTGTTAGAATTCGCTTGCGAGAGGCGTTGAAGGGGGTATAGTCATGAAAGCGACCAGCTGGCCCCCGGTACTCTTTAGAATCTCAGGATTTATCCTCCCTCTTTTTTCTCCTCCCCAACGGGATGTCCAGGGCTCGTCGTTCTTTGAGGCCTTGGTGTTCTCTCTATGCCGTGAGTCCCTTGTGTTGTTAGCTGCCTCCTTCTCTTTGTACTGGACGTATGCTTGGGCTTTGAGTAGGAGGGAGTCGAGCGTGGCTGGAGTCTCGATGCCAACAACTTTGGCGAAGTCACTGTGGGGATGAAGCCCGCGCTTGAGGAGGTATTTTTCATGTCGTCGATTGTAGAGAATTGCACTGCTTCCTTGTTGAGGCACTCAATGTACGCCCAAAGGGGTTCGTCCCTCCCTTGGATGATTACCTCCAAAGATGCCTCTGACTTTGGATGTCTGCGAGATGCTGTGAAGTTCCTGGAAAATTTTCTTCCCAGGTTCTTCCACGACGTGATGGATTCGTCTAGAAGGTTCTTATACCAGGTTATTGCTCCTTTCCTGAGTGTTGTGGGAAAGAGACAACATTTAATTGCTCCACGAACCCCCTGTATTTGAGCAGTGCATCAATGTTTTCGATGTGCTCGTCAGGATCGATTGTTCCATCGTATATTCCCAGTGGGGGAGGTTTCTCCAAGCTGATTGGGAGCGTGGTCTCCATAATCTCTCTTGATAACGGGCCGCGGGGCTCGTCATCGTCACTTCCCTCGAGAGATGGTGGTGAAGAGTGATGGTTCCTCCCTCATCAGGGATTGTGGTCCCGGAGGGGAGATATACTTCTTTGGTGTTGCCTTGGCTTGGGCGATGGTGAACGGTCGCGGTCAAGTCGGTGGTCGCTCTTTGTCTTCTTAAAAGATGAAGAGCCTTGATCTTTTCAGGGAGGCGTGCGATCGCGTTTTTTGAGGAAAGAAATGTCTTACTTCTATCTTATGGTTGGATGACCACGCCTAGGCGGAGATAAGTTGGGGCAGTTGTATCGTCAGTGTCTCTGAGGGGGGACTTTGAATGCTTCTTTTCCCAGTTTCTCATCCTCTTGCTCTGCTGCAGGATAAGGGTGTTGGTCTGGTTGAAGGCAGAGAGCAATGCTGCCATGGCCGGATCGGCATTTTGAGGAATAGGAATTAGTTGCAGGATCTCTGGCAGCTTCTCGGTAAGGTTCTTGGGCCTCTATTTGTCCAAGAACTGGAGATTGTCGCGATCAGCGTCGACTGAATCTGGGGACACAGTCTGTCCGTCTCTGACGTTGAAGTCATCCTCAAAGTGAGGATGCTCCTGGCTTCTGTCGGTCCTGTGAACGGGAGAGAGTACAGTCTTTCCAGAGAGATGATGGTCATCATGGTCGGCCATGATTGGAGTGGTGAAGGTATCTTTGGTCTTCAGATCTAAGAAAAAGGAAGACTATAGTTTCCCACAGACGGCGCCATTGATCTTACCGGTTGATCAGAACCTGCAAATGGGCCAAAGGATCACGTCTGGTTTGCTGGAAAGTTGAGGAGAAAGATGGATTGTACCTGCAAGACACTCTGACGATCAAGTAAGAATGAGTGCAAAGAGATACAAGCAAGATATTAGGGTTTATGATTTGAATATTGGATACTTGGCCCTCACATGTGTGAGGGATTATATAATGCCTCCGACGCTTGGTCATTGGTCCTTATTTTTGGGCCTAGATATGTGGGTCTGCAAAAATAAATAACTGTCAGGACTTGGTCAAAACAAGCAGTCGTGCCCGTAACTAGCCGTTGCATCGATCAAGGATGAGATGATGAGCAGAAGCGTTTATGAGCGTCTTCTGGGTGTCTGCTCTTCATGCGTCGAGCATACTGGGAGTTTTGTTGCCCTTGTGGGCAGGTGTGTGTATCAGGCATCGTTGGTCGCGTCAAGGGTAGAAGTGGATTTGACCAATTCTAATTATTGGGCAAGTCCATAACAGTTTAGTTGTGCTCATCCCAATATCTTGGTCATATCTTGACAACTCTTGCATGATAGACTCTCATCTAGATAAAACATGACTAAGAGATAAGTGATTTCTGATCCAAGTGGGTCTCTTGTCTCAGGTGTGAGCATTTGATTAAGTCAATTTTTTATCTCTTTGTTACTTGTGAGTTTGTCTTAATTGTATGGTATAAATCCTTATGGTGATAGGTAGTTATACCTAATGATCCTAGAGTATTTTTTTTAATATTTTCTTTAAGGGGTATAAAGAATGATTATTTTTTGATTAGGCACGTTGTAGTCTAGAGAGTATTTTTATGTCTAAAATGATTTATGAGTCTATCAATGTGTTTTATCTTTGTATAGAGGTAGATTTTAGCTCCTTATTTTTTAGTGTTCTTTTGATGAGATTTAATATATTAATGATGGATCAGATAGATTGAGATCTAATCAGTTGCTAGCAAAGAGCATTTCATAAAGACCTTTTGAACGTTTTTTTTTTTTTTATTTTTCTTCTACCATAACTTTTGATCTTTTGTAGTCTTGTGACACTTCTTGAGCTTTGTGGCTACACTTGTTGTAATTTGATGATTCTTCACTTAGATGTTTTAAGTTTGAATTGTCTCAATGAAAAAACATGGGTGGTTTTGCCGAAGAAATTTCATTCCTAATTTCAATTTTCACACACACATACATTTGTTGAACTCAGTATAAAATTTTGGATGTATTCTCAAAAGCTTATATTCGAAAGTTTGGAAAACATCTCCAAGGCATAGTAAATTAATAAATTAATCATAACCCTTAAAATAATAAAATTGTTTTTAAATACATTAATCATTTATAAAATAAATTCGTGGTGGATAACCTCACATTGAGAGAAAAAAATGTCACAAACTACCTATACACTCTCTTTTTTTTTGTAGCCCCTACCTATATACTTTAAAGGGTAAATAATTGCAAATAGTTTTGTTAAACAAATATAAATCAAATCAAAGCCACCAGAACAATACTTCTCCAATAGTAATCATCAAGGGTATGCTTGTATCTCTGCAAAGATGAATCAGAACAAAATTATAATTAAACTCAAATATATAAAATTTACCAAAATAAGTTAGAGAAGAAGTGAAAGTACTTACGTGTTGTTCTTTAGGTTCTTTTCACACTCTTTTTCTTCGTTATTCTATCACTTTTATTTGTCCTCAAACTAATAGGAATCGACTCTCTTGAAACGTTTCCACTATCCGCACAAGTCTCACTCAGAACCTTTCCACAATCAATACAACAGCTGTAATCAAAACATTGAAAATCACTTGGATCAAAATTAATGCACATCAATAGAACATAAAATCTCGTTTTTCATAATAAGTTAAAGTGCAATAATCAAAATCAGAATTTGATTTTGAGACTGAGACTGATCCTATTGAAGACAAATTAAGAAAAAAAAACAATTATAGATTCACTCACTTGAAATATACAGCATCACATAAATAAGATGTAGTGTTACGAAGAATGCAGCAATGTCCGCAGAACTCCATGGCAACCATTGTGTGTTACTTTCTTAAGAGTTTAACGTGCGAGTGCTGAATGAATAAATAGGAATATAACTACTTGGACTACAAGTAATGCGAAATTTTAGATTTGACAAAAGACTAAGTCCACAGATTTAAAAAAAAAAAGATTGAGAATAACTAATTCACTTGTGTCGAATTATATAATTATTTCAGATTCAATAAAATATGTAATATAATATCTTTGTTAGATATGTATCTAAAAATCAATCAATTTTATATTTAATTATTTTAAAATAAATATAAATTTTGATTAATTTTATCTTAAGAAGTGTTGTGAAATCTTTTTGCTTTAATAAAACTTTGCCATTGGTTTAGGTCAGAATTTGCTCACTTCTCCCAAACATATTGCTTAAAGTTTATTAACAACTTTAGAAAAATCACTTAGTTAAAATAACCGGTTTGTTTCAAGGTTTTTTTTATAAAATTTTATCGGTTTATATATTTTTGTTTAAAAGAAATTTACAAAAAAATTCAAATGCAGCTTCAAATTAAAAAATTATTAATTTTTTAAAATGTTATTTTTAGATATTTTATCCCTTAACTATATTTTTTTATATCAAGATTTTAAATTAAAAAAATTACTTAAATTTAAAAATTATTTTTGAAACACTTCTTTCTAAAAAATTGTAATTCAATAATATATACTTATGTTATTTGATATCAAAATTAATCTATTAAGTTATAAAAATTTAGTTAAATTTCTTTTGTATATTTTAAAAAACATTTTTATAAAAATTATTTTTAAAAATATAAAAAAAAAAATTAAAAAAAAAAAAAAAAAAAAAAAACTACTTTTTTAAAGATTAAACAAACGGATACTTCACATCGTTGTAAATTTGTTGCTTAATTGAAGTTGGGTTTATCATATACAGTACTCAGCTATGCTATAAATTATCATATTAAAGGACCCAAATTGCAAAATTATAAGGTAATAAAGAGAACAAATCCAAGTGAGTAAAATAGGAGAATACAATTGACCAAGAAAAAGGAGAATACAAAATGCAATTAAGTTTATATTTAATATTTATCTCTTTATGAATGACTAAAACCAAACACACTTTTGTATACCATTTAAAATTTCACAATTTATTTTAACTTTTTAATGGATTGAATTTGAAGAGGAAAGAGGGAGAAAAAAAAGCTACAAGAGAGTTGAGATAAAAACTGTACGATTGCACTCTTTTATAAGGCAAGTAGGCAACGGTAAAGTCACCGAACACCTTCCTCTTTGTAATTTCGAAGAAATAAAACTTCTTCAGAGAATACTTGCTTTTGTAATTGTAGACATCTGAAATAGTAGTATATAAGTTTTGCTCAACCAACATCTTCCTTGTCTAAAATCACTTTGCTCAACTTGTTTTGGTCCCATGACTCATTTCAAGGTTAATTGCCGGATGAAGGGAAATTTTATAAAGCACATTATCATCGGCCAAAAGTGACAGTAGAAGCAATCACGACCATACTAAGGATGACAATGCAAGACGTCTTATTATGTTCAAATGGTTATGTAGGAATTCCTGACTACAGATAGTACGAGACAGAAACATCTCCAATCCAATCCATTTGGACCAGTTCTGCTATCTATCAACAATGTGATAGATGTGTCTTAGACCTTCCTTCTAAAGTAAAATAGGAAAAACAAGATGGTAATAATGCAAGATATTGCCACCCAGAAACATTAAAAAATCAATTCAAGATGGACTGTCTCACACTACCATTTTTATGAGGTTTAAATTATAGAAATGGTGTTTACAAAATGAATACTTTTTACAAGGTATAGCAACCATCCTATTGAACCTAGTTCTACAAACATTAAGGTTTGAACAAAGGACATACATCAAGGGACAAAGGAGATCGGGACATAAAAGCCCAGCAACGATGACATACAGTTTCAAGGTGGACTTGGATCCTCTACAAATGTATACTGCAGATGAGCTCATTTTCAATAACTACTCCGCACTAACAACAACACATGCCATTGAAGACATAGTATAACCTGCATAGAATCTAGTCTACCTTCTTTTTCTAAAGAACTTTCTATTGAAACATGGAGGGATTCACCAGAAAAGGTTTTTCCCTCTATTTTGCCTTTTTACTATCCCCATTTTTTCAACATTATCACCTTCATTTACAAAAAGAATCAGAGATACCAACGTGACAACAGATATCAATGTCTCTGTCTAACTCTCCTGCCATTTGTTTCACCACCATCTGAAAGTTGGGCCCACACACTCTGAGATTTTTCCCCTGTACTGCAAGTATCACCCTCACAGCCAGCAATTGTTTTCAATATCTCTGACTGTAGCCATGGACATTTCTCTTTCATAGACTCAAATCCATCCGTCCTCATGATAGCTGCAATGAGTCCAAACAAAAAGAACCATCTTATTAAGCATGTGGATAGTTTAAAGTGTATTAAAATAATTATCCATGCCCAAACTTAATTTTAATACTAAACGATTAAAACATGAATTTACAATAAGGGGTCAAAAGATGGCCAGCCAATCTAAATCTAAAATGTTCTAAAATTTAAATGCCCGAGAAAGAGAAAAAACCCATCATCAATGGTCGGGCCTTTCTGAATGGAGAACATGCTTGACATAGAAATATATAAGCACAACAAAAAAGTGGTGGAAAGAAAATAACAAGAGGAGGGAAGAGGAAAGAGATTATGTGGGTCTAAATGTTTTAAAATGCATACGAGGTCAAAAAATCAACAACAAAAATCTTTTCCCACTAAGTGAGGTCCAACTAAGTAGATAAAACAATGTCATAATGTATTTCGAGAGAGCGAGTAAGCAATGCATTGTTATAGTAATTAGTAACTAAAATCTTTCATTTCTAGTAAAAGCTTGGAAGATTTAATTGCCTTTTGAACAAGTGGCATTATATAGTTCACTAAGAATGCAAGACTTACACAAAAAAATAAATCCTAAACAAATATTGCCAATTCAGTTTTTTTTCCTGATTTTCTCTCTCTCATCTCTCTCAATATTCTGGTGTTTAATGGCATTGCCATGACATTATCTCTACTATCATTTATTCCTACTAGTTTGCATTTGACGTATATGAATCAAAAACAGTAAGCCTAGTGGACACTTATCAAACCCTTCATTGAATTAGCTGTCATGAATTCTGTAACTGGATATAGATGCAAGTGAGAGCAAAGATCCCCAAAATGTACAATCATACTGAATTGTCTGAATGTTTTAGGATCGTAAATTTTATTTTGGAATACATTATCTACCTTTTCTGCTCTGTGCCTACCGATGCATGTCAAACAACTGTATTATTTAACAAGCAGAGGAAGCTAGTAGCTGAATGCATTTTTCTTTTCTATTTTTAGTTACTTCTCCAGTGACAAGTGTTATAAGTTAAACATCGGTGTTTATGTTGGCACGGTTGCTTGACCTAAAGCAAGCAAAAACAGGTAACTAATAACTAAGTAGGCATACCTGCTAGATTTTGAGCAGCAAATTTTAGGCAAACGGCTTTTAACTCTGCGGCATGGCATTTGTCAGCCAATGTTAAAATGCTGGCTACAGAGCTCACATCAATGTCGTTGCAAAGACGAGACTCGCACATCAGTTTAAGCCTCTCCAAGCCATACTTGTCTGCTGCAGCTAACAATTTTACTCTCAATGTCTCACAACCCGGAAAATCACTCGATGATGTTGATGGAACCACATCCGCCTCTTCTGTAAGGGTATCCCTGTAGATAAAATGCAGCATTGCCTGTAAAAGTAAGAGGTAAATCAGGACATCTATCTTCTGTAGTTGTACTATCCCTCTTAACACCTTAAGAGTGTTTTCTAATCAACAAAAGAAATTTTAACAAGAAAAAGCACATAATAACAGAGAGTAGATCCTAGTCATGCTTAACACTACCATGGAAAGAAGATAGTGAAAGGGAAGAAAAAAAAAAAAGAAATAAACAGTTTTTACCTTAAAAACCTTTGGTTCTAAATCTGTTACAATAATCTCCTGTTTTTCCGTATCAATATCCATACCATTTAAAAATTTGGATCGAAATTCTGGGGATCTAGCAGCCAACACGATCTTATGACCAGGAAACTTCTCCCCATTCACATCAAAAGTAACATCTGAACCTTCCATATTCTCCAGTAGTGTGCCAAAGTGTGATCCAATGTCAGATTCTGGGACGTGAATAGAGTTAAGTAGAGGACAATCAGTAGCAGAAACTACAACTCCAACAGTACAGTTGATTTTTAAGCAGTCATTCTTGAGGAAATCAGAGTTTTCAAGCAAAGCCCGTCTGAAAAATCGCTTGTACCCCCTACAAGAACATGTGATCAAGATTATCATTTCAAAAATCTCAACACAACACCGTACACTCATAAGGATCTTAACATGCATTGTCCATGAGGTGTCAAAGAGGAAAGAGTTAAAAATCTATCAGGACAATTATAAAATGACTGCTAATGCCATTTTAATTAACAACAATTTATCCCTTCCCCCTAATTTTTTTAAGAACACACATTGTCCTTGATTTTGAAAAAACCGAAATGATAAGAGGCTTTTTTGTATTAACTAAGGTATCCACGTGCAGCTGCATAGATAAACCAAGTAACAAAGATTCATTGAAGGTAGTAATCAAGGTAGTCTTTTTGCCAGTGAAGCCTTCATGTATCACAGTAATATCGTTATATTTCATATACGCCATCTATGACAGACACGACACTGACACAGACATACCGAGAAAAATTTGAAAATATGAACAAATTGAAAGTGGCAGTGTCATGTCGGTGTCCGACACAGACACGGATACAAACACTTCTTTTCAGAGTTGTCGTGCTATAGAGTACACCATTAACTATAACTAAGAACAAGGCTTCTAATTCACCTATATAACGTTTTTGATGAGCTAAACACTGAGTAATCATGCATTATTAACAAAAAGGGCTATAAACCAGGTCTTAAAAGAGTAATATTGCTGATATAGTGAATCACTA